GGAATGGGTCTAAACTGCTGCCCTGACCACTCAGGGGCGTGGGTCAGAGTTGGCCTGAGATACAGTGACCCCAACCCGCTTTGCCCATGCCTGGACCGTGGTTGGGCACAAGCTAGAGTCCTGAACCCTTAGACAGAAGTGAGGTTAGAGCACGGTAAGAATGCCCAGATAAAGCCAGTCTTTCCAGGAAAAAGCCTTTCCTGGGGTGAGGGAGGAGTGACCCTACCCACCTTGCTTCATGTTTGGAAAGCCAGTGTCTCAGAGTCTGATGGTTGAACTTGCCCATATAGCCACTTGGAGAAAGAGCAACAGAGTTGCAGAGACAGAATCAGATACCCTTGGCATCTTCCAGCTACTGAAAAACCCTGGTGCTGCCTGCTGCAGGCTGCCCCTCATGTGGGAAATTAAACATGTATTGTTAACGGTGTTATTGGTGGGGATTCTGCTAATTGTAGTGACACAAAAAGCTACTGTGACACACACACATATACACATGTTTTGGGTTAGAATCTGAATCCTGTCTGTGGTTTTGGGCTTGAGGCCAGGCCTGTCTGGGTTGAAAATAGATAGCAAATGTTAGAAATGGTAAAGCTTTCTGTCCTTAAATGAAATTGTTTTCCTTTTTATAATGGGAAAGATTGAGAAATAACTAAAAACAAAATAAAATGTCTCACTCCGTGTATTAGTCCATTTTTATGCTGCTGATAAAGACTACCTGAGGCTGGGAAGAAAAAGAAGTTTAATTGGATTTACAGCTCCACATGGCTGGGGTAGCCTCAGAATCACAGCGGGAGGTAAAATGCACTTCTTACATGGCAGCAACAAGAGAAAATGAGGAAGATGCAAAAGTGGAAACTCCTGATAAAACCATCAGATCTCATGAGACTTATGCACTACCACGAGAACAGCAAGGGGGAAACTGCTCCCATGACTCAAATTATCTCCCACCAGGTCCCTCCCATGGCATGTGGGAATTATGGGAGCACAATTCAAGATGAGATTTGGGTAGGGACACAGCCAAGCCATATCACTCTGTGATGCTGTGCTCTAACATTTTTTCTAGGACCATCTAAAATCACACTGACATACCCCATGGGGAAGATCCACATTTTGGCAAACACAGTTATAATAACAGTGAACAGAATTGACATTTTTAATAATACCAAGCACATGTGAACTATTTAGGCCAAAACAGAGAGTTTTAGATGGAATTGCTGTTACCTAGCACAAATTAGTTCAATGAAGTTTAAGTCACTATGACACACACACACACACACACACACACACACACACACACAGAGAGAGGATTGTGGACTCCTCTGTCATTTTAGTACCAAATTTAAAGTCAAGGAATCAGTACATTGTTAACCATGACCTTGAATATCTCAGCTTATTTTCAGAAACAAAAGTAATTGTGGCAACAACCACAAGTTAGAATGCCAATGAGAAATATGCCAACACGGCATTTAAAGAATGATGAAATAATACATATCTTTTAACAAGCATATTTATTACGACTGGGGATTTTCTTGTGGATTTTCATCAGACTAACAGGGTGGTGTCACAGAGAAGCAAGTCCATGCAAACAGCTTAGATTTCCATGCATTATTTTTCCTGAGAAATTAACCTAGATGCATCATGTAGGTTCTAGGGAATTCTGGAAGCTCCTGTTGTTTCCAAGCTTTCTTTCTCACTCTTCCTGAAGATAAAATTGACTAATTTTCAGCATTTTATGCAATGCTCATGACTTTTGTCATATTTGCCATAATGCAGTATTTACCACAGTATAACATATGATGATATTTATGTTATTTACTTAAAATTATCTTTAAACATGCCTATTTAACTCTGATACACGTATTTTAAAAGGAAATGACAGCTGCACTACAAATGGAAAACCACGATCACTTACTGTAAGTAGAAGACAATTAGAGAATAAATGTAGCACAGGCAAAACATTTTGCTTAGATTCTCTGTCTGCTTACGGCTTTGAGGCTGAATCCTGCTTCCTCTTGGTAAAAAGGAAGGTTAGTAAGTGTCAGATTGATGTTACAGACACAGAAGCAACAACAGACTGAGACTTCCTACTCAAGGTCATCAGAAAAGCCCACTGTGTATCTGAAAGCAACCACTTCATTACTATGCTCTTACGTGTTATTTAAGTTTCACTTACATCACACTGAAAACCATCTGGCTTGCCATGTGAAGCTTCAGAAGTACACATCCCCCACTGTGTTTCTGACATTACCAGATGCACATGGGGATGGGCAGCCCCAGCCCCAGGGGAGCTGTCATGAGTGGTTGAAAATACTAATGTCATTTTATTCCCCTCGGCCAAGGCTTGGTCTGGGGATGGGGCATGGGTCCCAGTTCTAGCCACTGAAAGACAGAGAGAGACCCACTGGGAATTCTTGGAAGACTGTTTTTCCCATGATAAAATCAAATGCAATGTACGAAGTCTCATCTTTCACCACATTTACAGCCACAGTGTAAAGAGCTGATGTCTGGTGCTGTGGTCGGCATCATGTTACCATGAGGTACACACCTTCTAAGTAAACCACTGTGCAGAGGTTAGAGTACAGGAGGACGGAAAGAGCCTGGAACCCTGGTACCATATTTGAGTTTCTGGACCAATGTAGAGTTCATCTCCAGATATCATCTCTCTGTTTTTGTTTGTTTGTTTGTTTGTTTGTTTGTTTGAGACAGGATCTTGCTCTGTCCCCCAGGCTTGAGTGCAGTGGCACAATCTCAGCTCACTGCAACGTCTGCCTCCTGGACTCAAGTGATCCTCCCACCTCAGCTTCCTAAGTAGCTGGGACTACAGGTGTATACCACCATGCCCAGATAATTTTTATATTTTTAGTAGAGACAGGGTTTCACCATGTTACCCAGGCTGGTCTTGAACTCCTGAGCTCAGGTGATCCACCCACCTCGGCCTCCCAAAGTGCTGGGATTACAGACGTGAGTCACTGTGCCTGGCCACCTCCAGATATCATAATAAATAAATGCCAAGAATCCTTATGTCTCTACTCTTAAAGAACATGGACATGTTTGCTGAGTAGTTGGTCAGCTACTTGCAGCTAAACACATTTAGAGTAATGCACTAGCTATTATCCATGGTTATTACCAGTGATTGTCCTGTGATGTGTACCACCAGTGTGCTTTTCTTCCGTTAATCAATACGAATTCCAACTATCTTTCTAGAAACTGCTCAAGATTTAATTCCAGGGAACAGAAGCTAGGAAAGAATTTTATGGTTAGAATTCTTAAGGAAGTGACTTTGATAAAATAAAAACTATGCAGCCAACACACACACACACACACATTTTATATATATATATATATATATTTTATTTTATATTCATTAATATATATATTTTATTTATACACACATTTTTTATATATATATGTATATACCTGGTACCATATATGAGTTTCTGGACCAATGTGGAGTTCACCTGCAGATATCTCTCTATTTTTTTTTTTTTTGAGACAAGATCTTACTCAAATGCAATGTACGAAGCCTTTTCTTTATATTTTAGATAGATAGATAGATAGATAGATAGATAGATAGATAGACGATAGATAGATTATATATCCATATAATCTTTAAGCATTAATTTGGATTTGGTCAGGAAAAGAGAGTCTGTACAAGTTTTATAGGAATATAGAAGTTAGATCTTATACAAATATGGATTGAGTAAAGCAGAGGGAGATTTTTAAAGGCTTCAGTGGAGGATTCCAGACAAAGGTGTTGATTTTCAGATCTCCTCCTGCAGCACTAGAGAAGCAGGACCTCAGGAAGAAGCTCCATAAGCTGTCATGAGCACACGTGGAGGCTCCTGGAGAGGACAGTGAAGCCACCCCCCCAGCAGAATGGTGTCCAGGGGTCGATGGCTTCTGCTTCTTTCTGCTTACCAAAGCACTCCTGGGTTTCCCTTAAACCAAGCTCTGACCAGTAGGCTCAGAGGCAAATAGATCAGGGAATGTGCCTCTCAGCCTTAGAAGAAGATGGTGGCACTGAGGTGTCAAGAGGAAATATAGCACCTTGATATATACACCAAGGGAAGAGGAGGGGGAAATGTTCAAAATTACATTTCATTCATTCATCCATTCAAAAAATACTTAACCTGCTTCATAGCAGTCACTGTCTTGTACTGGATAGAACAAGGTACAAACTAGGTGCAATCTTTGCGATTATTAGGTTTATCGTAGCAGTTCTTGCTGTTATGTCTCACTGCTCTCATTGCAAATGTTGATGGTGGCTTTTACGTCTGTGAAAATAAAAAAGCATGACCTTTTGATAGTTGTTTGCTCTACAGAAGCCTATTTTACTGTGTTTGCATGCAAACTTCAAACTTCTATCCGACCTTAAGCTAATGGGAGCTTGTAAAGAGGTGGAATCGAATGTAAAGTTTGAAAAGACAAGAAAAGAGAAAAGGAAAGGGAAGGGTTGGGGAGGGGAGGGAAAGAGAGGGAAAGGAAGGGAATGGAGGGGAGGGAAGGGGAAGAGGGGGAGAGGAGAGGAGGAGAGGGAAAGGAAGAGAGGGGTGGGAAAGGAAGAGAGGGGAGGGGAGGAGAAGAGAGTGGAGGGGAGGGGAAGAGAGGGGAGGGGAGGAGAAGAGAGGGGAGGGAATGGAAGGGAGGGGAGGGGAGGGGAAGAGAGGGGAGGGGAGGGGAAGGAGCAACAACAAACATTTGTGTTTATTTCCTGTTAGCTCCATTTCTGGCCTTTGGTCTCTTTCTCAGAAAGCAGGCTTCAGTGGCCTCGGTTTCCTCCCAGAACCTAGAATGTCTCACTAAGGTGACAAGAAGTGCAAGGTAGTTAGCTCTCCTTCAGTGCTTATGAGTTAAAGGTGATAAAATCTGAAGACCGGTTATCACATTTGAATTTTTCTTTTTATTTCAGGAGTCGATTTTCACTGCCAACCAACAAGGTGACCCCCACAAAGCAACCATGTTGAGACAGTTCATTTGCTGCATTTTGATTATTTGCTAAGAGCAAATACCTTTTCTGTTTGGGTTTTGCTTTTAGAAAAAAAATGTGGCATACGGTGGTGGCTTTCCCCCTCACTGAAAGAAAAAAGGTAGTAACTCTACTGGTGCACTCCTCTGAGTTGTGCTAACCAAGAAGAATGCTGAAAGAAAAGGGAAATGAACACCATTTTCAGGCAGCTTCTCCAAGTTTGTTTTGACAGTGTTATAGTTTTCCTTTAGCGACTGTTGAAGCAAATACCTGTATTTATGTTCAGATTAAACTGAGAGAGCAAAGACTGCTAGATCCTGTAATTTCTGGGCTGCAAATGCAGGATAGCTGCAATGAATTTCAGATTCTTAAAGTTTTTTGCTGTAGTGAATTCATGACACAAAGCATTTGGAGGGAAACCTATTAGAGAAGAAACACATCCTAAATGAGAATTACTGAGGACGGCAGGCTCTTGTCATTTAGTGGACTAGTTATAGCACTGTACATGAGCCTGTAATATTTGTTCTCCTACTGTGGTGTGACTGGTAAAATGAAAAGGTATATCAGGGGAGTGCTTGACCGACGTTCTTATTTCTTCCATCTTCTTATATTGCTGGGAGGATTCTACCACTGCAGGGCTGGAAATTAATATCACACTCATTTGATATGAAGAGCAAAAGCAAGGTTATGAGTCAGAGACATTTTGGTCCCAGAACAATAACTCTATTGATTGAGTCAAATGTGTTTAACTCCAACAGCAAGACCTTCCATCTGCGTGAAATAATCTTGTCTGTTCATTGTAAACAGGAGCATCTTCGAAAGCTGAGCTAGAGGCAGAGCAACTGGTAAACCAGATGTCCCAAATTTCTAGGTTTATACATTGTAATTGTTCTAGACTTGTGTGTGGATATTGGTAAAATGACATGGTTAGATATCTCACAGATTTTGTGAGATATGTCCAAAGTTCCCAAGTTAATGTATTACTGAAGTTAGAATTTCACTTATTGCGAGATTGGAATGCCAGCGAGCTACTGAACCATATGTGTGCCTAGGGGCCATTTTGAGACAATTTGCTGAATATTAAAAGTACAACCGATAATGTTTCTCTCCACATCCACAATAGCGCTTAGAGGAAGCATCTGGGATTGAGCCATCTCACATCTGTCTAATCACATTCATTCAAATGTGATGGGCCCAACTGGCCTACGGTCATGGCTGCATATCACCATGGGAGGAAATTAAATCAGAATTTGGCTCAGGAGAGAGATGAAGAGAAAATGCACATAGATAATTGGCTCAGATAACATTCTGTTTCTAGAAGTCACAAAGAGTGGGAATTGGAATGTGTAAATTAAAGAAAAACAGGTAAGGGTTCACATGAAACCCAACCACACACCCTGTAGAGCCTGCTTCTTTTCCACCATTCGATGGGGCCACACTCGTTTTACTTCACATGTCAGACACTTCTCATTCTCTCTACTGTGCCTGCGAGCAGTTGGAGTTTGAGTTTTTCAGTCAGTAAGGTTTGCTGTTTATTCAAGAGCTGCTGCTAAAAAAAAATCAGGTCTAGTGAAGAATATAGAAAAGTGAAATTATGCATATGTTCCTGGGGAATATAATAGATGTTCTCATAGTCTTATAATGTAAAAAAAAAAAAAAAATGAAGGTAAGACTCCAGCTTCCCCTCTTCTGTCTTTCTGGCCTCATTTTAGGCTAATATTTTCTTTTGCAACCATGTAACAAATTATTACATATGGAAGCTGCAAAACTGAAGGTTCTGTAAAACTTTAAAGCCAGAGAACTTATGACTCCTTCATATAGGGAGAAAGATGGAAGAATATCAGGCTGTTTTTAATATTAGGCACCTGGTATTTTTCAGTCCTTAAGATCAAGTCCACAATGGAAGAAGAACATTCATTTGGTACAAGTTGATGATTGAGTAAGCCCAAGGAGTGATGTCAACACTAGGGTTCACCTGAGAACATGGACACGACTGATGAGGGTTTAGGAGATGCTCATATGAGGTCTTCGTATGTTCCCTGGATCCTAGCTCTGCCTTCCCACCAGAGAGGATGTAATTCAGCTGAGATGTCCCAGAGTCAGCTCTGCTCATATCTGCTCCGCACTGAAGCCAATCATCTGAGAAACCCAAGAGGTGTTTAATGCAGTTACGAAAGTGAGGGATGGAGACCATAAATTCCTTTTCATGTAGCAGAGTATATATGTGATACTCATTCTGTGGTATTTGGGGCATAAACAAGAGTAGATGAAGGAATGTGAAGGTACTCCAAACCTTGACTTTTATCTCTATAAAAATGGCGTAGGGACGGCACACACCTGATTGTTATGACTGTACTCTTTTCAGATTTACTACCTGCCTTTCTACTGGTTTTTCTGTGTCACAGGTCTTGACTCCTGCAGGCTAAATTTCTCAGCCCCTTCTGCTCACTGATATATGGGAAGGTTTGGCCAAAGGTGGGCAACTGGTGGGGAGAAGGATAAGGGAATTCAGGGGATGGCTGAGCCCATTCTCTACTTTAGACAGTGCTGCTGGCACTGGCTCTGTCTTCTCTGTTTCCATCTCCCATCAGACGGTTCTTCCCTCTATGGGCCTAGTGCTAGCTGGACACCTTCCAGTTGGATTCCCGTTCTGGGGATGTTCCCTCCTCCAGGGATCTAAGTCCTTCCCAATGTCTTCAGCTCCTGGGCTCAGCTAGAGCCATCTTTTCCCATTGTCCCTGTGGTGCTAGGGCTTTCAGTGGTTATTAACGTCTGTGTTGTATCATCTTGCCTGAATTTCAGCTCTCTGTAACCAGTTCCCCAAACAAAATTCTCCCCATTTACCTACCTTCTGTGAGTCTGTTTGCCTGACATGACTGTATTAAGTATACCCGGTGTATTAGTTAGCTTCGGATGATATCACAATGTGCTGTAGACTGAGTGACATAAAAAACAAAGGAATGTATTTCTCATTGCTCTGGAGCTGGGAAGTCCAAGATAAAGGTGCTAGCTGGTTCTATTCCTGCTGAGGGCTCGTTTCCTTGCTTGTAGATGGCCACCTTGTCACTGTCTTCACACATGGTGAAGAGAGGCAGAGAGCAAGTTTTCTGCTCTTGCTTCTTATAAGGGCACTAATCTCCTCATCATGGCCCCAACCTCTTGACCTCATCCAAATCTAATTCCCTCCCAAAGGCCCCATCTCCAGATACCATCATGTTGCAGCATAGGATGGTCCACAAACACACGTGGGACTTAGCGCCATCGCTTGACTGAGCATGAGCTCAGGAACTCATGAGGGCTGCATTTCATCACCTCCTCCCCAGACAGTGGTCCCCAGACTCCAGTGATTTGGGTAATCCCACTGTAATTTTTTATCACGCCACTCAAGAGTTTATTTGTAACTGTGAACTTCCTATCCTGTTGTTAATGTTTCATTCCTTAAGTGGACTCAATATTTTTTCTTAAAATTAATTTCCATTTCAATTTTTAGATGTTTTTGAAGTAGAACACAGACAAGTTGCACAGCTTACATTTTACAAATTCCACATACCCAGAACAAGAAACAGAACACTACCATGCACCCCCTCCCCGTCACCAATTCCCCTCCAAGAGTAACAGCTACACTGATTCTTTACTTTCAATCAAATAGAAGAATGAGGAAATGCTATGAAGGGGTTCCTCACCAAGAGGCTGCACAAATAACTACTAATCACATGATATATTCTCAACCTTCACCAAGGAAATTCAATACACTGTCTCTATACACTCACCACAATGACTAACATGAAAAGACAGATATGCAAAATGCTGGCAACCAAAGTTTCCTTATACTGCTGTACACATACCCTATAGTCAGTAGATCACTTTAGTAAACTCTTTGGAAATATCTATCAATGCTTGCACATATGCATATCCTATGACCCAGCAACTTTACTCCAAGGGACATATACAGCCTAGAAGTACATGCAATTTATGATCTAGCATGCCCACAGTAGCTCTACATGTAAAGAAAAAAAAAAAAAACAGCATGAACAATAGAATGAATATAATGTAATATATTTACATAATGGAAGAATACACAATAATGAAATTTAAAGATATCCAAGTATACATAATAATGGCAGTATATCATAAATACAATATTCAGTGCAAAAAGCACTCTTGAGAATATATGCTTTTGACTGCATATAAATAAGCATATTTAAAAGGAAATTTTCTACTGCTACTGGAAATGGAAAATCAGAATCAGTTTAAAAAGCAAATCCCCCTCCAAATTATTAAATCCCCCCAAATAATATTAAATCCTACTTATATTTGGTTGCCTACCAAATTTCTTGACCTAAAACCTCTCTGTTAAAAAGATTTTCTAGCATAAGAGAGGTTTAATGAATATACTAGCATTAAAATGAGTCTTTTTTCTTATAGTCACATGAGGTATTGAAAGAGAACTGGAAATGAAATTGCCTAATGAGTCATCAGACAACAACTAAAAATCTTGAACTGTGACAGCCACCAAAACTATGAATAGCTCACATCCCTCCAGTGGTGTGAGTCTGACATTTGATAGAATAAAGTGGGTATGGATGGCTAAGATTCATCATTATTAGTTCCGAGCATAATAGTGATGTGGGTTCAAGGCTCTCTGGTTAATGAATTCATTCCGTTTGAAAAGGCAAATGAGACTTCTTCAAGTAGCAAAGAACAGGCTGTGGCTCCATGCTGTGTGCCCCTTCTCCCACTCCCCGTTCTCTCACTCGCTCATTCTGAGAGAAGCCAACTGCCATGTTGTGAGCTGCCCTGCAGAGTGGTTCATGGGACTCGAAACTGAAGGATGCCTCCAGGCTCCAGTCAATGAGGAACTAAGGTCTTCAGTCCAACAGCCTGTGAGAAATCGAATGTCCTGAAGCTACTGAGTGCATTTGGAACTGGATCTCCCCCAGTAGAGCTTTCAGATAAACCTGGATCCACAGCCACACCCGCCTGACTGAACCTCATGAGGGCGCTGTAGCCCGTGGCACGCAAGCAAGTCACCTGCATCTGACTACTGACCTGCAGGAACTGTGAGAAGTGAATGCTTGTTGTTTGAAGCTGCTGAAACAAACAAAACCCCAACAAACCAACACAGCAAAAAATATTGCCTTGAATAACTTTTTTTTTTTTTTCTTTTTCTTTAGACGGAGTCTCGCTCTGCCGCCCAGGCTGGAATGCAGTGGTGCGATCTTGGCTCACTGCAAGCTCCGCCTCCCGGATTTACGCCATTCTCCTGCCTCAGTCTCCCGAGTAGCTGGAACTACAGGCGCCCGCCACCTCGTGCGGCTGACTTTTTTTTTTTTTTTTAAAGTGGAGATGGGGTTTCACCGTGTTAGCCAGGATGGTCTCGATCTCCTGACCTCGTGATCTAACGCTTCGGCCTCCCAAAGTGCTGGGATTACAGGCGTGAGCCAGCGCGCCCTGCCGCCTTGAATAACTTTAATGCAAGCAACTCACATTTTATGTTACCTGTGAGGTTTCTTTTTTTTTTTTTTTTTTTTTTTTTTGAGACGGACCTCTCTCTGTCACCAGGCTGGAGTGCAGTGCGCGATCTCGGCTCACTGCAGCCTCTGCTTCCCAGGTTCAAATGATTCTCCTGCCTCAGCCTCCTGAGTATCTGGGACTACGGGTACACACCATCATGTCCAGCTAATTTTTTGTATTTTTAGTAGAGATGGGATTTCATCACCTTGGCCAGGGTGATCTCAATCTCCTGACCTCGTGATCCACCCGCCTTGGCCTCCCAAAGTGCAGGGATTACAGGGGTGAGTCATCATGCCCGGCCTACATTTTTAATTAATTTATTTTTATTTCCAAAGATGAGATCTCTCTGTAAAAAGAAAAACGATATCCAGGAACTTCCAAGATGGTAGCTTGCTTGTGGTTGATAAGATAGTCTTACAGGCTTCAAAATCAGTGTACAGTCAAGGTGTGTCTCCAGAGTTACATCTTCTGTCTCTTTATGTAGCTGCTTTAACCTGGCAGTTTATCACTGAAAAAAAAAAAGTGCTTTTAAAGTACTCATATTTCTTCTAAAATGTAAAGTCAATGCTATTGGTTGGAATCCCTTTTTTTTTCTTTCATTGCCCAACGTATTTCTTCTTTTTCTTACTTACCTTTCCCTATGGCTGAATTCTGAGAGTAATTTCTGGACAATTTGGAAAATTGAATTGTAAGTTTTTTTTTTTTTTTTAAATAACAGTATTCCACATTCTCCTAATAAAATAGAAGTGATTCCCATAACTGCTTCTTATGATTTATTGATGAGTTCGGGGTAAGTCTTCCTTGAGAGTGTCCTTTTATTTGTTATATTAAGAGTTGATAAGACAGTGAGAAATTTAATAATTTTCAGCTTAAGTAGTGGAGCTAAGAAAGAAGTAACAATTTTTAAATAAAAAAATATAATCAGGCACATGTTTTCTTTTTTTTTTTTCCTAGCATGATAATTGCATGTGCTTCAGATATTAAATATCAACTAGTAGATGACTAGGCTTGACTCTACTAATTACAAAGTAAGACATTCCATGGCCCATGCTCCAACCACGGTCAGTGGCTTAGTAGTCAATTAACGAATGAAAGAAGAAATGAGAGCTAAATCATAAATAAAGATGATAATAGCAAGACCTCCACGGAGAAGTCTCTAAACGGGTACCATCCACTGATTCCCGTGATATAGCAGCAGATTCTGTGCCCCAACCTCCACCCTTCTTCCCTGAACCCCCGTCTCCTCCTGCCCATGCAATGGGGTGTCATCCCCTACAGGTGGGAGGAGATGGGGGTTCAGGGAAGAAGCCTGGGGGTGGGGCACAAGAGTTGATTCTCCCTATGGGACTCGCTGGGATAATTGTAAAATTTTATTCTTGTTCTCTTCCTCCTGTTTACACATCCCATCAATTCCTGTTACTTGTTTGCAACAGAAAGGCCAATATCATATCAGGGATTCAGTCTCAACATATTGATTTTAGGTAGACACAAACATCCAGTCCACAAGACACCTTTTTCGGGGAGAATTTTCTAGTTTGGTGACATAAACTCGAAGTCCCCCACCAAAATTCCTATCCCCCTTCTTGCTTAATTTTTTATATTTGTGTTCATACCATGGAAAATATGTTACTTTATTGACTTTTCATTACCTTCTCTGTCTTCTTGAATATAGCTCTAAAATATGAGCTTTATGAACGCTCATGAAGTTAGGATTTTTCATTTGCTTCCTGAAGTCAGGGTTTTTCATTTGCTTTTCTCCTAGCTACACCTGCGTGTCTTGACCAGTGCCTCCCACAGAGGAGGGACTCAAACAGTTGGTGGATGAATTTTACACAACGCTGGGACTCAATCCCTGCTGCTCACTGTTAACCTCAGAAGCCGACCCCTCTCCAGACTTTGCCCAAGAGGCATGTTTTTGGTGTGATGCGCTTTGCAGGAATCACTTGATCCTCCCGAGACATCCTTCCTCTCTCACAGCAAAAGACCTTGGACATATCAGTCATCATTTGGCAACCTGATGCCACATCCAGCAACCTGAAAACTGACCACTTTACAACCGACTATTAATATTGCTGTCCACTTTATGGAGCTGTTAGAGGAAAATGCCTTCAGCAGCAAGATTTCTCAACCTTTGGAACTCTAGAGTCACAGTTATTCAAGAAACAAGTTCATGACATTTTGCTTGGATGATATTTCATTGATTTCTAGGAAGCAAGATGGTAATGATAAGACCTTTGTGAAATAAACATTCTGAGCATTGGAGGCAAAAGAGAAGACTGCACAGATATAAAAAGGTTGGCATTCATGGGCCGTTAGAAAGGGCTGTTAAATAAA